ATATAATGAATTAAAATTTTTTTGTTGGTATTTATTTAATAATTATTAAAAGAGTTTCAATTATTTTTCAATTATTACAAATACCAAAAAAATCGTTTTTTTGGTTGAATAATAATAGCCCAGTATTCAACCGAATAACCTTTTTTCTAAACTTATTGAACCGTATAGTACTTTCAAAATGATTTTTTAAACCACTTTTTAATACTTAGAAATTTAGTAAATTTTGTTGTTACAACATTTTTTGAATATGAGAAAATCGTTTTTTGTGTTGAATAATAATAGCCCAGTATTCAACCTAATAACCTTTTTTCTAAACTTATTGAAGCCTAGTACTTCTAAAATAATTTTTTGAACCACTTTTGGGTACTTAGAAACTTTTTTTAATTTAATCTAAAATTGTTTTTTTTTAATTCTTTTTTCTAAATTTAAAAAAAAAATAAAAAAAAAACATTTAATTCCCTGAAAATCTTTTGTTTGACTACAAAATGATGAAATTTTCAAGATCGTAAAGTGTGACTCTCTAAATGTAAGAAGCGGAAGTAACATTGATGTTATACTTTGCGAATACTTGGACGTTAAATTTTCACCGTACACATGTATGTATATATATATATATATGTAGTAAAATACATATAATATTACACGTTGTAGAAACTCCTTCATTTCGCTTGACATTCGTCCTTTTAATAGAACGTTTTTACAGTGGTTATAAACATAAAGCAAACCATCCAACCGGTCATGGAGACTTCTTGCCACTATAATTCACAAGATCTGACATTAAGGGCTGATAATACATATGATGGTGTCTCTTTATATATAATAAAATATATTAAACGCTAGACGAGATATGAAAACTGACACAAAACTCGTCGATTGCAATTTTTTTTTTTAAACCTCATGCTGGTTGTTATGTACCTTCTTTCTTTTTTTATCTCTTGGCAAAACCGACGAGACGTCATAAAAAAAGAGAGAAAGGAAAAAAAAATGTTTAAAGCCTCATCGTCCATTGACAGGCATCTTAGCTCGAATTTAATCTAGTTTATTACCACTCTTGGGCACAAAATTACGATCGTATAATGTAAGTTATCGACGCGCACTTTTAATCAAAGCTCCAACTCACCGACAATGTCAATGCAATATTGGAAAAGCTGTTGTGAATACAGACTTAGAACGCGCGCGGATAATAAAAAAAGCATCCGCGCTCTATTTTTTTTAAGTTGTATGGCTCTCTATAAGCTTTTTCAATACGATACAGTCGTGAAAAAAATTTAATAAAAAAAAAGAATTGTAAAAGAAAAATTTATCAAATTCGAGTAAAAAAAAATGAGAAAATGGAATATAATAAAAAAAATGTACGTCCTTTGTTCCCTTTGGTATGTAATTATATATATGTATATATATATATAGAAAAAAGCAGAAGGCATATTATATGGGGGATTTGGGATTGTGTCGATGGTCCATTATTGGCGTTCGCGAAGTCGAAAATGAAAGTCGAAGGGGAAGAAAAAAAAAGTTGCTCATGTCGGCGATGCTTTGGTCGCACGTGTATATTATTGCCAAAAAAGTTGTGATCTTCCAAACCACACTTGGTGTGTACTGGACTTTTGAAACGAGAAACTTTTCCTATATAAGAATCAAGATCAATTTTTTTGAGAAGATTAAATACAATGTTCGTGACTTGGCATCCCCTTTGTTTTGTTTATAACGATAAAAAAATCTTATTTAACTTGCAGATAAATAAATTTTTTAAAATCGACTTCAAAATTGTAATCAGCGTCACCAAAAATCCCAAAGTGACAAATTATGATCATTTTTTTCCAAAATTGTACGCCATATTGAATGCAGCATTTTTTATTTTCAAAAACAAACATCAAATTCGTGTTCAGCGACCCCAAAAACCCCTGAGTAACAAATTTCAAGTAAATTTGATTGATTTTTAATATTTTTCTGACGCCATATTGAATCCGCCATTTTGAATTTTGAAAAACTGATATCAAATTCGTCATCAGCGACCCCAAAAACCCCCGTGTAACAAGTTTCAAGTAAATTTAAATGATTTTTAATATTTTCGGGTGCCATATTGGATCTGCCATTTTGAATTTTGAAAAACTGACATCGGATTCGTAATCAGCGACCCCAAAAACCCCTGAGTAAGTAGTTTGAAGCTGTAATTTCAAAGTGAACCGTTTGAAATTAGCTGCGCTAGAAACTACTTACTCCGTAAAGTTTTCAAGGTCACTGATTTCTATTTAAAATTCAAAATGGCGGATCTATTATGGTGCTAGGGAAAATTAAAAATTAATCAAATTCACTTGAAACTTGTTACACGGGGGTTTTCGGGGTCGCTGATTACGGATAAGATAATAGTTTTTCAAAATTCAAAATGGCGTGTCCAATATGGCGCCCGAAAAATATTTCAAATGAATCAAATTTACTTGAAATTTGTTACTCGGGGGTTTTTGGGGTCGCTGAATACGAATCCGGTGTTAGTTTTTCAAAATTCGAAATTGCGGATTCAATATGGTACTTAATTTTTCAAAAATTAATTAAATTCTCTTAAAAATTTTTTTTAGAAAACTTTTTCTTCTACATTTACTTATTATTTATTAAAAATAGAAGCAAAATTGTGTCAGTCATTGTAGTTTAAACTTTTACTCCCTAAAATATATCCTACAGATTTTATTTCGACACTTGAATACAATTCGATGAGCCTCTCATTGTTTATGTCCCTTCCTTTTTTGTATCTATATAAACCGACAAAGAAAAAGAAGATGATGAAGAAGAAAGTAAAGGGCTGACAAAATAAAACACACCCTAAAGTACACTTCATGCAGAGGATGCGCGACCTGTTAGCCCCTATTGAAACAAGTGAGAAAAAGTGGCTGTGAGAGGTTCCTTATATACGCTACTGCGCACGACACACCATTTACACCCTTTTCATTTTCTCGTTATATGACATCGTCGTCATTTCTCGATGCGCGTCGATCTTGACACGCTCTCTTATATTTCAAGACAACTGACACCATATAATATTCCCTCGATCCAAGTGAATTGAAAAAGACAATAATATTTTTTTTAAAAAAAAGAAGAATGAAAAAAGAGAGGAAGCGAGATCATTTTCATATATTGAAAATTTGATTAAACCTTCCTCTCGACATCTTTTTTAACAAATATTTTGCACGCGACATTTTTTCTCAAATATCTTAGTCAACAAATTAAATCTTTATAAATTGATTTAAAACTTTGCTTAATTGTTGTCCTATACAAGGGTAGAAATTTCATAAAATTTTAACTAATTTAAATAAAATCTATGGAAAGTAGTTAGTTGTAACCTCAACTATTTGCTACAAATTTTTAATTTAAATTTTGTAAATTACCCTTGTATAGGAGAATAATTAATTTTTAAATATATTGAATTTTTCACGAGAAAATTTGAAGAAAAATTTTTTTCTTATAAATATAAAATACTTTCAAGAAAATAGGGGAAGTGTGGGAAGAGAGACATTGTTTTTTGTGGCCCCTTAGAGGAAAAAAAAAGTAAATAAAAAGCAATACAATGTGTATTGTCGAATCAATTCTACTTTACTTCCATTCAATTAAATCATTGCACAATATTTACCTCGTGAATTCCCCAACCAATCCTGTTGATCGTTGAGAGAACTTGAAGAGTAAACTTGGAAGAATTTGTTTTCTTTAATTGAATGGAGGTCGCTCTCTCTATTTCTCTCTTGTTTGATTTTGCTTTTTTTTACTTTTCGTTTTTCTTGGCGAATTCATTCTTTTCATTTTTTGGCGATTTCTATAACACAAGTTTCCTTTCGAAAAAAAATTGATCCAACAAACGTGAAAACATAACCTCAAAAATTGGGTGATAAGTAAATGTCAAGAGGCAAAGACAAACTTATTATTCAAGGTTAAATGTTAAGGTTAGATCAATTTCTATATTTAAGGGACCTCTGGGTTTAATGTTAAAATCAGGCCCCAAAAACTGATACAACTGAACTAAATCTATTAATTTCTTTTTAGACTAACAAAAAGACGCTCATTTAATATTCGTCCAGGGCTCTATTTTTTCTGCAGCGCCAATCAATTTTAAATTGACGTTATAAAAATATTTTTTTCATCTTCATTTTTTGTTTTTTTAATCGAAAAATAAACCTCTACGATGAGAATTTTCAATATATTCGAGAGACAAATAAGGATGTAAGACATTGAAGATTGATCGTTGACGTATTGAAATGAATTAAAGATAAATGTTCACAATCATATATAAGTACCATCGGCGTCTCCACTCGTGGCACTATTCAAACATCAATCAGTCATTTCTCCCCCACTCTCTCTCTCTCTCGACGAGTATATGGTGACTCAAAGCAAGGTTGTCACCATGGGAATTAGAAGAGGCATCCAACCTCTCAATTATCCGTTTGCCAAGCCACTCGAAATCTTGGACCTACTTGTGAGGGTGAGGAGAGGGGGCAGAAGGGGTTATAAGGAGGGAAGAACGAAATGACAATTGACCTATTAAGAAGATAAATTAAATTGTATTTTCGAAATGTTATTGGAGTGTATTTTAATTATTTGATGAAATAACAATAAACTAATGGAGTTAGATGAAGGAAAGGGTGTTTCGATAAACTTCTTAATCAATACTAACTGTATTTTTGTTATTTTGGCTTACTTATACCATTTATTGACGAGAGTTAATATTGAAGAGAAATAAAAAATTCACGTGCACAACTCTATTTAGTTAGTGAATTTTTGAATATGACAAAATCGTTTTTTTTTGTTGAATAATAATAGCCCAGTATTCAACCGAATAATTTTTTTTTCAAAACTTACTCAAGCTTAGTACTTCCAAAATGACTTCTTCAACCAATCTTGAATACTTAGAAACTTTTTTCTAATTTTATCCAGCTGAAATATAAAATGAAAATTAGTAAATTTTCTATTTAAAACCCACTTTGAAATTTATTTACAGACAAGTTTATACCTTTTTTCAGATGCCTCAGTGATGGACGGTGAGGGAACGTTGGGCCGTGGGCATTCGAATGGGGGCCGTGGACTGCGCCGTCAACGGTCCCTAGAATGGCGAGAAAGGCGCGGTTATGGAGGCAATGGTCAATCCAGCAGCGACGATGAAGACAACACTCGTCATGGCGTCGGTCCTACTTCTTCTGCCACCAGAGGCGCTCGAAGTCCTGGCCAAGTTCTCGCTTCTCTTCTGGCCCAACAATATAACGGTAAGCATTTTTTTTCAACTTATTTCTTTCATCCTCTGCAAAATGTAGATTTCGCTATTCCTCTCTATTTGTCAGACAAAAAAATAGGTTTTAAAAAATATTAATTCTTTAAATATTTTAATTTTTTAAAAAATACCATTATATCGTACTTTCTTGAAACGAAATAAGAAGAGAGAGAGAGAGAGGGAATAGAGTATGATCGTAAAAGTCCTTTAAAAATTTCATGTCTTCGTCCTTTATTCAAACAGATGGATAAGATAAGCTCCATACCGGATGGAGCTTATAAGAAACGAAGCGAAGGAAAAGTTTTCAATTCCTCTTATTTTTAGGAACTGTCAAGACATTCGATAATCACTCGTGACAGCACATTGGACGTCGATATATCGACGGACATAGAGGGAGAGTGAGTACACACACACGAGAGAAACTTTCATTTCCTACTCTTTTTTTTCCTCTCTCTCTCTCTCTCCAAAACACCCTCTTGCAGCCTTGAACTGGCTACTTCGAAATCGGACTCCTTCTTCTTCTACTGCTACTTCTGACGAACTCCCTTCTTTCGTCTTTGCAATAACGCGGAAAGTTTCACGAAGCTCGTCCATCATATTCCATCAAACGCTTTAGCAGCTCACTCTCTTTCGCTCTCTCGCTGTCCCTCCCCTCCCCCCTCTTTCATTTCTTTCCATTTCCCATCCACACAGAAGGTGCGCGCTAACTAAAGCACTAGATATTTCTAAATTAGTTTTGGTCGGCGCTTCTCATATTGCTTTGGCGTGTGACGAAACACTTGATTGAGCTTTTCCTGATCACTTTACTCTTTTGCAATTTTCATCATCTCCAGACAAAAAAAAAAAAAAACTAATACAATTTTCAAGTAACAGCTTGTTATAGATTTCAATTATATTGTTTGAACACTGTTATGTCCGGATAGAGTAGATTTTTACCAATATTCACATCACTTTTTTTCACTGCACCCCAGGAAACTTAGAAAAAAATTGCTTTCGCCATTTTAACATAATTCATCTTCTAGCATTCATTCCATAACCGATTTGTTAACATTACATCATCTTGAAAGTAAACAGATTAATTTTCAAAATAGATACGGATACAACCCCTCAAAAACATTTTCCAATAGTCATAAAAGAAGGAAATGATGGCTCATAACCGAAGGAGAAATCTCGATTAATAGCAGTTTCATATATATATATATATATGGTTATGTAGTATATGTCTGGTTCTTCGTTGCGGAGAAATGGATCGACTCATGACAGGAGAACTCTACCCCGTGTCTGTCTACGTTTGTTCCAGTTCAGTGGGCACCGATCACTACCTCTAACTCTCTTGCAATTCCCATTTTCTCTCTCTAGCTCTTTCTCGCCCTCAAGTTCCACTTGCCGTATTCCATTCCAATTTCAACTCAGTTCAAACTGGCATGTGAACAGTGTCGCCATCTGCAAAAGAGAAACAAGACCCCTAACTCTGTATATATTTCGACACCTCTTACCCCTTACCTTCTTCGTGTCTATTTCATGAGAATTTCAACGTCTCCGAGAATAATCAAGGTCGTCTGTGAAACTGTCGCCAAGCTCCATTCTCCATTGGACAATTAGTCCAAGTATATACCTCTCAGTCTCTATGTTCAAATACACTCTATAATCACAACTGAAAATTACTTTACACTTTTGTTCCAATAATTTTCGAATTTTGTTTTCAAAAACAAATTTTTCCTGAAATTAAAAATTACCTAAATTAGATACATAGAAAGTTAATTTCCTTTCAATTGACAGAAATGACGTTAACAAAATGTATGTGAATTGGCATATGTAAATAAAACTTTATTCGTTAACAATACGTCATCATCGCATGAGAATGTGAATTTGTACCATTTAGAGGACTATAAACGTCCTCTACCAAATGCGAATAATGTGAATAATGACGTTGATTCCCTGTCGACACAAAATTATCAAAAGATACATAGTCAAACGTATATATGCGTCCAAACGATGAATTACAACGTTTCGAAAATTCAAAACTACCTTCGAAATTTACCATATTCATTCAAATGCACCATTAATGATGCATATGTAGTTTGGGAAATAATTTTAATTTCAATAAACCGAGGTTCCAACAAACTAGTTTTCAAATAACATACAATTATAATAATGATTTAGAAAGATATAAAGCGTATACAATTTTTGAAATTGAGATTATAATTCACATACGGGTTTATTGTATACATTGTTTCATATTGTTGTCAAAAAAGTTTCTTCCCTTTGAAATTGAAGTTGACAGTTTTCCATTTTACAAATAAATGTCTTCTTTTTAATAACAAATTCTTCTTTATTTGGAAAAAACCATTTAAGTATTACCGAGAGAACGACTTGTCAACGTCAGTCTTCAGCACAAGTAGGAAACATCTTTGCTCTCATTGCGAATTTACTTTCGTGTCGACTTGTCTCTTGGAGAAATCTCTAGAATCCACCCTTAAGCAGGTACACTGATCCGATGCTCTTTCGAGGACGGTAGGTTAGTCGAAAATACGAACTGACACACGGAAAGCCAAAAGGGAAGAGGAAGAGAGAGGGTGGACTTTCTCAATCCCCCAAACTCCCTCGAATCAGGAAGCTTTGAGTGCGTTCCACGCTAACGTCACTTAGTGTGGAACTTGGCAACTCTTAGCACTTACCACTTTCTCTCACAGAAACCCACACAAAATCTCTTAAAGCAATTCCTAGACCCAATTTCCAAAGTATCGTTTGGTCAAAATTATGTAATTTGAATTATTATATCTATTTGGATGGTGATAAAATTGTTTTGACTTGTGTTGAATTATAATAGCACAGTATTCAACCGAATAACCTTTTTTTCAAAATGCATTGATGCTTAGTACTTCAAAAATGATTTCTTGAACTACTTTCGAGTACTTGGAAACTTTTTCTAATCTTATCTAGCTGTTAAATAAAATCTACCGTATTCAATTAGTAAATTTTGTTGTTACAACATACTTTGAAAATGACAAAATCGTTTTGATTTGTGTTGAATAATAATAGCCCAGTATTCAACCGAATAATTTTTTTTGCAAAACTTACTCAAGATTAGTACTTTTAAAATGACTTCTTCAACCAATCTTGAATACTTAGAATCTTTTTTCTAATTTTATTCAGCTGAAATATAAAATCAAAATTAGTAAATTTTATTGTTACAACATACTCTAAATATTGCAAAAACTTTTTGGATTTATGTTGAATAATAATAGCCCAGTATTCAACCGAATAACTTTTTTTTCTAAACTTACTAATGCTTAGTATTTCCAAAATGACTTCTTAAATCACTCTTGAGTAATTAGAAACTTTTTCTAATTTCATCCATCTGAAATAAAAAATAAAAATTAGTAAATTTCATTGTTAAAACATACTTTTGAATATATTTCAATAATTTATACATTATACTCCTCATATCTCGGTTGAATTGTTAAATTAATCCACACTATTAAATTAGGATTGCAACTTAACCCAAGATGGCATGTCGCGTTATGCGAAGTACAGGGCCTACATAACCGTAAGTACATATACATACATAGTTCTGTGGGTCTGTCTCTGTGTGCTGATCGGTGCAACGTGTGCCCGCCACAACATGGTCCAAACGTGAGGGTTCATGGAACTCACGCATACAAATTCACATAGAGACATATATATATATATATACAGAGACACACACAAATACTGTACAAGACACTCCTCGAGTGGTAAACCTGGTATCAATGTGCACGCCACCCGTTCATATTGCTAATAAATTTTGCCGACAGATTCTATACGACCTATCTTACACGCGCGCACCAGTCTTCCCATACACAACGTCGGCAAATTGCTAACGCAACCGAAGTGAAACAGTATAAAGTCTGTCTTTTGGGGGGGGATTCCTCACTGGAGTAAGCGATTTTACTTCAAGTGTATTGAATCTCGAATCGTCGACTTCTGAACAGCATTGGCGATAAGAGAGACACAGAGAAAGAGATAAAAAGAAATGAATCCAAAATTTTCCCACGTCGGAAAAGAATTATTTCTGTTGTACTTTCTTATATAAAAAAAATTTTTGCATACTTGTCTAATAAAAGTTGGTTTCTCAATAACAATTTACACTTTCATTATTGCATGGAATAAATAAATTCTCTTTGGATTAGTGTTGTCTTTAATTTTTGCTGATTTTTCTCAATTCTCTGTAACACTTGTCGTAAGGAGTTTCTAAACCTTATATGTGATTAAATCTATTGGAGAATGTGTCACCATTTGCCATTTGACTATGCTATTATGTTCCACTAGCAATGCCGCTTATATGAGAGGGTACGCCCTAATGCATGTTCTATTACGTTACGTTGGTATTTAAAACTCCCCTCCCAACATCAACAACGATTAATTGAATCTCCATGTCTCCCTGTCCCGTCCTGTTATTCATGTTATTATTATTATTATCATCATCATCATCAGCAACTGGATCTAGAAACCAAATTTATTTCTATAAAAAAAAATTTTGATTTAAATTCAGATCAGTAAAATATAAAATTTTGCGAAAGAAATTAAGAAGTTAAAAAAAAATTTTTTGTTGTCATTTGTATCTTTGCAGAAATTATTCATCATCGAGTATGAAATTTTTTTCAGTTCTTTGTTAAAAAAAAATTACTTTGCAATTCTAAATTTTGTGAATTTTATTTTTAATTCGCAACGACATAATAATACCTTTGTCCGGTCTATAACTGATCATCTCGTTTGAAAATAAAGGCCGGAAATATATATGCGATATAAACCATATTCTCTTGGCTATATACATGTTCCTTTTCGCGGAGTGTTGTACCTCTCTCTCTCTCTTGGCCACTTAATAATGCACATGCAGAATGCCCCCGGTCCCGAAGCACCGTGTATAAGTCATGATTAATATTTCAGATGTCGACCATGGTGTATAGGGTCAAAAGGTACCATTGCTAAAAGGGGAAAAGGGAGAGGGGGGAG